TGGTCATGAGCTCTGGGTAGTGACCGAAAGAACGAGATCGCGAGTACAAGCGGCCGAAATTAGTTTCCTCCGCAGGGTGGCTGGGCTCAGCCTTAGAGATAGGGTGAGGAGCTCGGACATCCGGGAGGTACTCGGAGTAGTGCCGCTGCTCCTCCACATCGAGAGGAGCCAGTTGAGGTGGTTCGGGCATCTGGTAAGGATGCCTCCTGGACGCCTCCCTTGGGAGGTATTCCGGGCATGTCCAACCGGGGGGAGACCGCGGGGCTGACCCAGGACACGCTGGAGGGATTACATCGCCCGGCTGGCCTGGGAGCGTCTCGGGGTTCCCTCGGAAGAGCTGACGGAGGTGGCTGGGGAGAGGAGTGTCTGGGCTTCTTTGCTGAGGCTGCTGCCCCCGCGACCCGGACCCGGATAAGCGGAGGATGACGAGACGAGACGAGACGAGACGAGACGTATACTATCAGATATTAATATATACTTTCAACATATTGTACCCCAATAGCCCTAATTATAATTATAATATTATTACTTTAATTAATGTTGTTGTAAGCTACTGTCATTACCGTCTGTCCTGCATCTCTCTCTGTCTCTGTTTCTGTCTCATTCTGTCATATGGATTACTGTTAATTTGTCATGTTGATCTGTTCTGTACGACATCTATTGCACATCTGTCCGTCCTGGAAGAGGGATCCCTCCTCAGTTTCTTTTCCTGAGGTTTCTACCATATTTTTCCCCCGTTAAAGGGGTTTCTGGGGAGTTTTCCCTTATCTGCTGTGAGGGTCCAAAGGACAGAGGGATGTTGTATGCTGTAAAGCCCCGTGAGGCAAATTGTGTTTTGTGATATTGGGCTTTATAAATTTGATTGATTGATTGATTGATTGATTGACTGACTATTCTTTGGAAAACATGACCCTCGTCACCAAAGATCAAATCACATTTATTTATAAAGCACATTTAAAAACAACCAGAGTTGACTAAAGTGCTGTACAATAAAATAAAAAAAATAAAAAATCGATACGTAGATATAATTCATATTTGGTTTCTTCAATCTGGTAAAGAACTTATATATAACCTTAATTTATCCCATAGGCCCTCTAAACCTGGATCAAGCTGCCATAAAGTGGCAGCTGCTCTTTCCATACCAATTAAATGAATAAATTCTTCCAGCCAACTACTCAAACTAAAACAGGATGGGGCTCTAATCTTCAAATTCATAACAATTTTATGTTTAGCAGCAAGACAACCAAGTGTTACACATCCCATTGCTCTTACAGCTACACCATCTAATTTGTCTGCTAATATACATAGTACAGGACATTTAGGAGTATTGACCTGAAAAATCTCTGAGAGAGCTTTTGTGACCTCAGACCAAAATGAGTTCAAATATTCCCCATAACAAAGCAATACAGTAATCCAAACAAGAGGAAATTAGGGTATTCATGACTATTTTCAGGTCATTAAACCAGAGGATCAGATTGAGTTTGGCAAGAAATACTTGAGAATTAAAATTAAATTAGAATTTGTATATTTCTTAAGAATCTGGACTGAGCTCTTTGTGAATGCTTTGATAGTACAAAGGTTGGTATTTTGTGTCTTATTACACATAAACTCACTTAGATGACAGTATACCTGCCAGGAAGGAATAATAACCTGTTGGTGACATTTTAACAGCCTCTTTGATAAGCTCTTCTTTGCTCCTTCGTTCTTCCGATTTCCAATTCAAATTCTATATTAGTAGCTTGAAGCTGTCAGGAGGGCAAACGCATTTCTGAATACATCAGGTGTTACACAGAACCCAACCAGCGTACTGAGCTCATGAAACAAGAAACACAGCTCTTTAGATACCCTGTGTCTGTGTTTAGACAGGATATAAATTACAGTATGGAAGGACTAACAAGTGTGCTGAATAACAACACATTTTTGGGACTGTATTTAATACCATTAATCCAAAGTATAGAAGAGTGAAGTTACAAAGACAGTGTGCATCACAGCCAGATATACTCTGTAGAGCTGGAAGAGTCTAGTCCCATACTGTAGGAGTGATGCAAGGTTTCCAGCCCCAAGGCCACACATATACTGTAAAAGGTTAAGTACCCCAAGTCCAGTCCAATCTACAGAAGGAAAGACAGGAATGGATCCAAGCTAAAGCAGTTCAACCTGGAGACTGGAACGGGTCCAAGAGTTCAGGCTGACAAGAGAGATGGTTTCCTCAATCGTCCTGAGGGACAAACAAAATGGGAGAAGTGTTTGTCTGAGACATGACCTGCTCTGTAAATACTGTGAACACCGAATGCAGCGACAGAGGAATTCTGCTGCCCACTTCCTGTTAGGACAAATCACAGCTTGTAGCTTGTTTTCCACATCCATTTTAGTGTCACGTGTACAAAGAGGTTGAGTTCCTGGATTCAAGGCTTTTATAATTGTCAAAATAAAAAGCAACATATGTCTTTCACCTTCCTGTCTCACTAATGTTTTGTATACATTAAAGCGACACTTACCTTTCTGGAAATTTTACACTTTTCTTTGTTTAGGTTAAAATGCTATTAATAAGCTGATGGTACACTAAAATGTAAGTGAATTCCACCAGAGATGAATACTCATAATTAAACCATTCTCATATGGTTCTAAGAAAACTCCAACTAGTCATTGCATTCAGATTATTCAGAGTTTTCTCCTGTCCTGTCTGTCTGTCTTCCCCACGTGGAGGCCGCTGACTGAATTTCCAATCTAGCTGGGGTATTACGTAAAGAAGGTTTAATTAGGCCCTGTATATAAGCTTGAGTTAGATTTGCTAGGTTTCCTCACCCACTCATCCTCCTCTGCTCCCTCCCCTTCTCCAGACTTCTGAGTGGTGACTGCCTCTGCTTTGTTGGCCATAATCTTGTCCGTCCACGATGCTCCAGCCTTTTCATCTCCAGCAAAGTTACACTTGGTCACTGTGCTGCTGTCCACTTTGGCAACCGAGACTGGAAGCACAAAAGTAAGGAAGACAGTATGTTTGTTTAAGGGCTTCAGAAAAAAAGCATCAGATGTACAACACAGACATTACAAGACATATGAAGGTAAAAGTAAGAGGAAATAAATACGATAAATAACTACGATTACCGCCCTATGGTTGTACGCCTCTGCGCATCAGTCAAGTTTCTCTTAAAGTTTACATCCATATCTGTGAAAACACGGATGCTTCAAACACAGATCTATACAATCAGCACAGTTCCAAGGTGGATACCCAAGATTGGTGTCACCAATTCAGTATCTGACTTAATGTCTTCCCTTCTGCTGAGATATGATGCTGAATAATGGCCAGAAAAGTGTTTTTGTAGAACATTATGATGTCACAGGGATGTTGACCTTTGACCTTTTGGATATCAAATGTCATCACTTTATCCTAATAGACATTAGTGTCAAGTTTTTTCATAATTAGTGTATGAATTGTTGAGTTATGGCCAAAAACACCTTGACCTTTGAACTTCAACCACAAAAAATCTCGAGTCCAAGCAACATTTGTGTCAAATTTAAAGACATTCCCTTGAGGTGTTCTTGAGAATATATATACAGTACAGGCCAAAAGTTTGGACACACCTTCTCATTCAATGCGTTTTCTTTATTTTCATGACTATTTACATTGTAGATTCTCACTGAAGGCATCAAAACTATGAATGAACACATGTGGAGTTATGTACTTAACAAAAAAAGGTGAAATAACTGAAAACATGTTTTATATTCTAGTTTCTTCAAAATAGCCACCCTTTGCTCTGATTACTGCTTTGCACACTCTTGGCATTCTCTCCATGAGCTTCAAGAGGTAGTCACCTGAAATGGTTTCCACTTCACAGGTGTGCCTTATCAGGGTTAATTAGTGGAATTTCTTGCTTTATCAATGGGGTTGGGACCATCAGTTGTGTTGTGCAGAAGTCAGGTTAATACACAGCCGACAGCCCTATTGGACAACTGTTAAAATTCATATTATGGCAAGAACCAATCAGCTAACTAAAGAAAAACGAGTGGCCATCATTACTTTAAGAAATGAAGGTCAGTCAGTCCGGAAAATTGCAAAAACTTTAAATGTGTCCCCAAGTGGAGTCGCAAAAACCATCAAGCGCTACAACGAAACTGGCACACATGAGGACCGACCCAGGAAAGGAAGACCAAGAGTCACCTCTGCTTCTGAGGATAAGTTCATCCGAGTCACCAGCCTCAGAAATCGCAAGTTAACAGCAGCTCAGATCAGAGACCAGATGAATGCCACACAGAGTTCTAGCAGCAGACCCATCTCTAGAACAACTGTTAAGAGGAGACTGCGCCAATCAGGCCTTCATGGTCAAATAGCTGCTAGGAAACCACTGCTAAGGAGAGGCAACAAGCAGAAGAGATTTGTTTGGGCCAAGAAACACAAGGAATGGACATTAGACCAGTGGAAATCTGTGCTTTGGTCTGATGAGTCCAAATTTGAGATCTTTGGTTCCAACCGCCGTGTCTTTGTGAGACGCAGAAAAGGTGAACGGATGGATTCCACATGCCTGGTTCCCACTGTGAAGCATGGAGGAGGAGGTGTGATGGTGTGGGGGTGTTTTGCTGGTGACACTGTTGGGGATTTATTCAAAATTGAAGGCACACTGAACCAGCATGGCTACCACAGCATCCTGCAGCGACATGCCATCCCATCCGGTTTGCGTTTAGTTGGACGATCATTTATTTTTCAACAGGACAATGACCCCAAACACACCTCCAGGCTGTGTAAGGGCTATTTGACCAAGAAGGAGAGTGATGGAGTGCTGCGGCAGATGACCTGGCCTCCACAGTCACCGGACCTGAACCCAATCGAGATGGTTTGGGGTGAGCTGGACCGCAGAGTGAAGGCAAAGGGGCCAACAAGTGCTAAACACCTCTGGGAACTCCTTCAAGACTGTTGGAAAACCATTTCAGGTGACTACCTCTTGAAGCTCATGGAGAGAATGCCAAGAGTGTGCAAAGCAGTAATCAGAGCAAAGGGTGGCTATTTTGAAGAAACTAGAATATAAAACATGTTTTCAGTTATTTCACCTTTTTTTGTTAAGTACATAACTCCACATGTGTTCATTCATAGTTTTGATGCCTTCAGTGAGAATCTACAATGTAAATAGTCATGAAAATAAAGAAAACGCATTGAATGAGAAGGTGTGTCCAAACTTTTGGCCTGTACTGTATATATATATATACAGTGGTGGAAAAAAGTTTTCGGACACCCTTAAAATTTTACACAATCTCAAATATTATCATGAAATATTTGTGGAAAAATCTTTTTTGTGTTTCAAAAGGTGTGGCTGCATTAGACAGATACAAACAAATACAAATTATATTTTTTTGTTTATTGTTTACAAGAAAAACTAACAAAACTAAATTCTTGACAGTTTCAATATGTCAGTTCTCAACATTGTCGGTATCAAAGTCAACAAATAACAGAGAATGTGTTCAAAACTGAACAAAAAATAAATAAACCATCACATCATCAAATTAATATTTAGTAGTCCTGCCATTGGCACGTAGTAGAGCTCTAATCCTGGCTGGCATGTTCCCCACGAGCCTTTCACACTGTTGAGGGGTAATCTTGTCCCATTCTTCTTGAATTACTGCTTTTAATTCTTCTAAATTCTTTGGTTTATGCTTTGAAACAGACCTTTTGATAATCCACCACAGATTTTCAATGGGGCTCATGTCCGGGGATTGAGCTGGCCACTCTAAGACCTGGATACTGTGCTCCTGCAGCCAAGTTCTACTGGCCTTGGATGTGTGGCAAGGGGCATTATCTTGTTGAAACATCCAGTTTTTACCTCGACGGAACAGTGCACGCGCAGAAGGGAGCATGTGGGTTTCGAGAATGGTACAATACTTGGTAGAGTTCAATGTGCCATCACAGACAGTGAGATGACCAACACCAGCAGCACTCATGCATCCCCAAACCATGATACTGCCTCCACCATGCTTGACAGTAGGTACTGTACATGCTGGAGATAATGCTTCGCCTGGCCTTCTGCGTACCCTCACATTAGTAGGAGGAAGATAAAGCTGGAAACTGGACTCATCTGACCACAAAATCTTCTTCCAATTCCTGGCTGTCCAGTTCTTGTGTGCCTGGGCCCAACGACGCCGGGCTAACCTCTGTCTCTCATTGATCAGGGGCTTCTTGATAGCCTTGTAGGACCTTAAGCCATGATCTAAAAGTCGGCCACGTACAGTGCGGGTGGAACACTGGACACCAGTTTGGTTTGACCACTGCTGCTGAAGCTCCTGTGATGTCATTCGGCGGTTTTGCCTGCACATGCGGATCAGGATGCGGTCATTTCTTGCTGAAGAAACCCTTGGACGCCCAGATCTTGGTTTGTCTTCCAAGCTGTTGGTTCGTCTGTATTTCTGCAGAGTGTATCCAACTGCTGAAGGACTGCATCTGCACTTCCTGGCTATCTGGCGGCAGCTGTACCCTTCCTGGCTGAGAATCTTTATCTTCAGGCGTGTTTCCTGCGTTAGGTTCCTTGTTTTAGCCATTTTTGTGTCTGAAGAACTTTCAAATGTGCTGGCTTTATGTAGACACGAAGCTTGGCAACAAAAATTGTGTCTTTTAATAAAAAGAACGACCTTCATCACTGGTACCAAAATGACCCAATACTCAAAATTTCTTATGTATTTTTATGGAACCAATCAATTTTAAGTTTTTAATGGCTTTTTTAGGATTTATTTAGTATTTTGGCTGTGACTGTACTAAAAGAAATTGCACTTGAAGACCTAAGAGTGATTCTTAATGCAATATTTCACAAATGCATGGGGTGTCCGAAAACTTTTTTCCACCACTGTATATATATGTGTGTGTGTGTGTGTGTGTGTGTGTGTATATATGTATGACTCCTAATGCTATACCTGCCTCCTCAGATATGAGCGATTGTAATAAAGATAGAGTCATACTGGCTCAGACGTCGCACGGGTCAACAACGTCTGCGTCAGTTGCTAGGGAACCAGGGAAATCTGATGGCAAATGGGTTACTAGAACAAGACATACATGGACAAGCACGGAGAATACGGAATTGATGAAATGCTACTATACCAGCAATCCCAGAGAGAGGGGATATATATGCGGAGAATGTGGGACCTATGGATACCTCGAAACCCACGATCAAGAATCTGTAACCGGCAACTACTATCACAACTAGAGATCAATGAAATACTTCCAACAATGCTATGGCAAGGGGGAGCCAGGATAACAGGTCAGCGGGGGGATGTCATCAGGAAGAGCGTGAGCAAACTGGAAACCTTGCTCTTCTGACGAATCCCGAGGCTGAGTTGCCAAGTACCTTCAGATGATCTGCTAGAAGATGTGAATGCTGCCCTAAATACCATCCCTACAAGGACCATCCAAGGACCATCACTGAGACTGTGATGGAAACATACTGGAAGGGCATATGGGATGCCCAATGGCTAGTGGACCTAAGAGCTGGCTACAACAACCTCCCTGAACAAGATCCAGTAACCATCTCAATGGCAGACATCCAGGAAAGAGTGTCAAAGATGAAGAGCTGGACAGCACAAGGCCCTGATATGATCCATACATACTGGCTGAAGAAGCAAACTGCACTCCATGAACACCTAGCAGCACAGATGACCCAGCTGCTAAGGGAAAGAACCAACCCAGAATGGCTGACACAGGGCAGGACAGTCCTGATCATGAAAGACCCCCAGAAGGGAACCATCCCATCCAACTACAGACCGATAACCTGTTTCTCCAGTAAGACAAGTCCTGAGAAGTCAGCTGAATGGTCAGAACAAGGTCTGAGCCATCAACATGTACGCACTGCAAGTCATCAGATACCCAGCTGGGATCATAAGCTGGCCAAAGAAAGAGATAGAAGCCACAGATATCAAGACAAGAAAGCTCCTCACCATGCATGGAGGGTTCCACCCCTAGTCCAGCATCCTGAGGCTATACACTACGCGGAAA